TTGGTGACTTAGTTCTTGTTTCTTCTTCCCTTTGTAACAATAAAAAATTACCATATTAAACTTAAACTAAGATATATATCACAATAATAATTTGAGTTGATTACATCATATGTCCTCAAAGTATAATCCTTATTTAAATTGGTCCATAAACTTTCAATCATTTTAATTTCATCCCAAACTATGACATTCATTCTAAATTAGTACTCAAACTTTTTAAAAATTCCAATTTCATCTCAAACTATATGTATATTCTAATCATATTCATTGTTAATAGAATCATTAGGCCGAGTTATATTATTATATGTTTGAAAAAAATTAGGTTAAACTATGGTTGAAACTAATTACATATTTGGATGAATTTGGGGATGAAATTGAAATATTGAAAAGTTTGGGGACAATTTAAAGAAAAAGATTATAGTTTAGGGATTAAATTAGAATGTTTAAAAGGTTAAGGACTAATTTAGAATAAGAATCATAATTTACGAATAAACTTAAAATATTCAAATGTTTAAGGACCAATTTAAAATAAGGGTTATAGTTTGCGGAAATATGATATAATTAACTATAATATTTTATATTATTAATTATTTAGTTACTTTTTTTTCGTGTTCGAATCATTTTTAAAATTATCACATATGTTCAAAATCATTTCTTTTTCCATGTAGATATCTACACTAATTATCATATTTATGATCAACGTTAACTATAAAAAATAGGCAAAAAGGCATCCAAGGTTCTTGAACTTTTTTTAAAAAAACCAATATGACACTCATTCTATTTTTTATCAATGTGACCCTACAACTCGAAAAAAGAATCCAATGTGACCCTTTGACCAACGTTTCTGTCATTGACCAATGTTTTCGTTAATTATTGCTGTTATAAATTGGGTAAACTACACCATTCATCACTCAACTATTTTTTTCTCTTCTATTTTGGTCACTAAACTCAAAAAGTTTTTAATTTTAAAAATTTTAGAGATTTCAGGGATTAAGTCTATAGTTAACCCATTTTATTTTAAGGGTAAACTACACAAATGGCCACTTTTGTTTCAAAGATAAATTAATCTTTTTGTAAACCCAAAATAGTTTGGGGGGATAAAATATAAATTTACCCTCTTTCTTTCACATGTTTTCTTCCTCAAACCTATATTCTCTGCCGTGTCGCTTCCCCTGCTTCATCTCTAAACCACTGCTTTTTGCCTAAAGATAACTACAAATATGGTGTCATTTGTTGATGGAACACGGATTGAAGCGAACAATGGAGGCTACAAATCTAAATCCCAATTCAAGTGCTACCGCCAAGCTCCTGTACAGTGTCAAGACAAAAGCACCGTTGGATTCCGTTGATTCATTTTTCTTCGATTTTGATGATTCCATTTCCAATCTTGCCTTCTCATCTTTTATATGTTTCGCCTTTTTTTCACTGATTTTGCAGTAAATACAAGCAATGATGCGATTACAGGCATTATTAGGAAGGCTGATAAACTGGTTGATGGAATTCCTAAGACACTGAAAATGCTTCGATCCATGGTCTCATTCTCTTACTCTTTTTAAGTTTTCCATTTGATTATCGAATTTATGGTTTATCCTTGAAAACCCACCATGTTGAGCCTTGATAAACATCAACAAACAATAGAACCAAGCTTTTTTCCTTGTAATTTTAGTTCCCAAAAGACAAAACTGATCTAATAAAGCAAATCCATTTCAGCAACCCAAACAGAAAAACAAAACCCAGGAAGTTCTGTCATTCTAGCTTTCAGAGTTAAAAAAATCGAAAACCATCAAAGGCAGTGGGAAACTTTTAGAGTTTAGTGACCAAAATAGAAGAGAAGAAAATAGTCATCATAATGAATGGTGTAATTTACCTAATTTATAACAGTAGGAATTAACGGAACCGTTGGTCAATGACGGAAAACGTTGGTTAAATGATCACATTAGATTCTTTTTCAAGTTAGAGGGCCACATTGATTTTGTTTTTTTGGAAAGTTCAAGGATCTTAGGCGCCTCTTTGCCAAAAATATATTTCCATTTCAAATCCTATCATTTTTTTATAGAACCCACTAATTTTATTCAAAATAGAAAATATTTCAAATTACAATTTCCTATAATCAATTAACTTATGAATATCACATAAGGATCATACAAGGAAAGATTAAAAACTAACCAAGAAACTTGAACAAAGATAGATACAAACATATCTTATCATATCAACAAACGAACCATAAAAGGAGATCAAGCTACTAAATACCACTAACAAACCACAAATCATACTCGTGTGACTTAAAAGCTATCCACGAACGCATAACATGTATCTAAATTCAATCCTATGGTCCAAAAGCATGGAAGATCAACAATATAACAAATAAGCATCATCTTGATCAATTGTGACTATGTCAAATCAACCCTTAGAAAAAGACAAGTGAAAACAACGACGAAACTACTGAAAAAGTGTCATAAGATAGAAGAAAATGTGTCATAAAGATAAAAGAAAACGTGTCATAAAGACAGAAGAAAAAATGTCATATAGACAAACTTATTGAAAATAAAAAATGTGATGCAAGAAAATAAAAAGACTATAAAGAATATCGGCACTCAACAACCAATAATAAAGTTAATGATGTCATCGATCAACAAAGATAAAAAGAAAAAGGGATGAACGACGTACCAATGAGAAAAAACTATGAGAGAAAATTCAAAATGACTATTAAAACTCTACGATTTTAATTTGAAGTCTAATTGTGTTTGATAATAGATCATTGTTTATTTATACAAATAAAAATAAATTTTATCTATACAGATTAAGTGATCGTTTATGGTAAATGAATTGTTGTTATTGTTTGAGGTTTTCTATTCAAGTATCATAGGTGATAGGAGTATGAACTTTTAATGTTAAATAGTTGAAAGTTATTTTTAAACAAATATTACCTTAAACTTACCCTAAATTAATAAATTTTTTTTTTATCAAAATATAAATTAATTCAAACTATTTATGATATACACATGTGTAGCAGATATATTTTTCTGGATGAAACATTTACTTTGTAAATTTTAATAGAAAACTAAAAGTTTTTCTCAATCCATATGTTTGATTTTGTGGATCAAAATATGAATGTCGGTCGCCTGCTTGAAGTACGGTACTAATATTTACAATCTTTACTTCTTTATTACATTGCTCAATACTTTTACGGATAATATTACTAATTTCGTCGGCTCTAATAGTTACCACGAGTATTTCCTAATTATTGTTTAAAAGAGAAAAAAATAATACATAAAATAAAGTAAAAGTAAAAAAAAGGGCTGTTAGCACTTATTTCTTTCATCACCCTAAACAAACTAGAAGACTCCTTGAAATTTTTAAATTTTTATATATTTTTAATATTTTTAATAATTTAAAAAAAATAAATATTTTTATACTTTTATTAAAAATATTTTTTCACATATCTAAAATTTTATAAGTTTGTCTCCCTTTTAAATTTTAAATTTTATAAATTCACCATTTAACTCATATTATAAGTTCCAATTATAAAAATTTATTTGTTTGTGATATATGCAATTGTAGCAATTATACGTTTCCTACCGAAATATTTTCTTCGTAAATCTTAACCACAACCATATTTCTCAATTTAGATGTTTAATTTTATGATTAAGAATATTTATCGTTTAACTCAAAAATTTATTTATTTTTTATATATGCATGTATAGTAGTTATATCTTTGTTGAATATAAAAATACTAAATCTAGATGTTTACTATGAGTATTTACCGTTTAACTCATACATAAATTCGAGTTATAAATTTATCTATTTTTTTTATAAAAATTCGATAGTTTTATTAAAAATAGAGAATATTCAGAAATACAATGAATATTTGCAAGCATAACTGTAAACATAAACTAAATTATAATTAATATATTTTTCCTATAATCATTGACACAAAAACTAACCATCTAGATCACACAATGACTAAAAAAGGGAAAATATTAAAATATCTAACCAATGCTCGAACAAAATAAAGATACGAACAAATCTGACTACATCGGCAAATAAACCAAAAAATGAGATGAAGCTACTGAAGGCCACCGACAAATCGCAAATCAGAGTTAAGCGACGTGAGAAAACTATCCACGAAACGACAAACGTGTATCCGAATCAATCCGAGGGTCCAAAGCAGGGAAGATCAACATGATAACAAATAAGCGTCATCTTGATCAATCGTAGCGATGTCAAATCCAACCCTGAGAAAAAAAGATATAAAATGAAAACAACAGTAAAAAATCGCAAACTATGAAAAAGACAGAGAAAAACATGACATAAAAGTATAGATAAACTTGCTGATTCCATCGGCAACACGATTACACTCTCGATGAACATAATTGAACTTTATAGTCTACTCACCAAGGATAAAATAATAGAGAAAACAATGAGATAGTATAAAAGAACCACAACCCCAACGACGTATTACATTGAATAATGGAGAAAACATCCTTGCTATCCGTCTCAATAATAACCTTTGACAACTCCATGCTTTAAGCAAGATTTAGCCCCTCAAAATTCCGTATCAAGAGTTGAACAATAACCTATAACTCTAGAAAAATTCACAATCTGTTCTCCCACATTTATTTTGTTTGTGATATATGCATGTGTAGTAGTTATTTGTTTTATGATGGAATATTTCTCTCGTAAAATTTAGTAGAAAACTAAATTAATTTAAATCTATAACCCTTTTGATTAGTCTACAACAAACGTAAAATAATACACGTTTAAAATTTAACTATTTAACAATCAATGTTCATATACTCGTATCATACTGCTTAATCAACCAGAGAAGCCATAAAATATCATTGGGCCTACACTTCAATTTGGAACTGGAGAAAGCCCATGAAGTAAGACACCATAAAAACAAAGAGCAACCACAACCACATAGAAAAACCAGCGAAGTCATCTCTCTTCCCTGTTCTCATTCGGTTAAAAAAAACATCCTTAAATTTTTGATTTTTTGGTTCTTTTAGTTTTGATTTTGACTCTCCCTCACGTACCGAAGTTCCCTTTCTTTGGTTATTCTCTCTCTCTCTCTCGCTAGCACGACCAAACCAAAAACATAAAAAAGAATAATAAACTTGAAGGATCTGAAGAAAAAAGGTTAAACAGGTTTAGTTTCATTGTAGTTTCTTCCTGAAAGATCAGAAAAGTAAGTTTGTTTAATCCAATTCTCGAAATGGGTTTATTCTATTTCTTCAAAGATTACCCCTATGTCAAAACAATTCACTTTTTATTTTCGGGTTTACAGGGATGAAACGAGCAAGAGATGATATATATTCTGGTTCTCAATTTAAACGTCCGTTTAGTTCCTCTAGGGCTGAATCGTAAGTTGCTTCTTCTGTTCGTTTCTCTGTTTTTATAATCTATCTGCTTGCTCTATCTTTTAGGGTTTTTATGCTTGGTTTTGGTCTAGTATGGAAGTTCGGCTTTTTTTGTTAACCTAGTTGTTCTTTTTCTCTTGATTGCTGGTTGGTTATTGTTGTCAGCTTTGATGGTTTTTCTTTTTTCGGTCAGATTTGACTGGGAATTCTGTTGGATTTGCATGTGAGATTGTTTTGTTTACCGCTTTGAATCGAATGATTCGTTTGTGTTTTTGATTTTTCATGGTTTGCTTGAATCGTATCGCTCTTCATGGTTGTTGGATCATTGCATTAAGTAAGGTTAAGATTTTCACTTGGTTTTTTAATTGTTGGCAACTTTACTTCCAAGTAAAGGGGTTTTTACGTTCTTTTTAAGAGTAATCGTCCATTGAAAGTAAATTAGGTTTAGCTCAAACTTTTGGAGTTTCCTTGTCCTTATTGTTCGAGTAGCTGTGGTCCGAATTTTCTTTTATTATTTTTAACTATTAAGGTATGGGCAAAACCAAATGCCTGGTGGAAGTAGCGGTCCTGGTGGAGGAGGTGTTGAAGGAGGAGGAGGAGAAGGAGGTGGAGGAAGTATGCCACAGAAACTGACTACAAACGATGCCTTAACGTATCTAAAGGAAGTCAAGGAGATGTTTCAGGATCAAAAAGAGAAGTATGACATGTTCCTTGAAGTCATGAAGGATTTCAAGGCTCAAAGGTACCCCATTTTTGAAACTCAAATTTTGTTGACCAACGGATTGTGGGTGGCTTTAAACTACTAATGTTCGATGCATCTTTTGCCTTATGCAGGACTGACACAGTTGGTGTCATTGCCCGAGTGAAAGAGTTATTCAAAGGGCATAACAACTTGATTTATGGATTTAATACCTTCCTGCCGAAGGGGTATGGAATTACCCTTGACGAAGACGAGACTCCTCCGAGAAAGACAGTTGAATTTGACGAAGCGATCAGTTTTGTAAACAAAATAAAGGTGAAATATGAAAGCATTGTGCTATAATCTCTTGCCTATCAATATCCATGTTTAGCCATCTAATTTATCCATTTACTATGCAGAAACGTTTCCAACATGATGAGCATGTTTATAAATCATTTCTGGATATATTGAATATGTACCGTAGGGAGCACAAGGACTTAAATGAGGTCTATACCGAGGTAAATATATCTTGATCTGGTTGTTAACTGTGTTCATTGTTTCTTTGGTAGCTACTAAATTGCAATCACTTGATTTTTTTTTCTTTTTTTCCTAGAAAGTTTTACATGTTCTTTGTTTCATTTGCTTTCAGGTTGCTTCTCTTTTCGAAGACCATCCTGATCTGCTTGAGGAGTTCACAAGATTTTTACCAGATTCTTCAGCAGCTCCTATGACACAGCAAGTTCCATATGATCGAAACTTAACTCAGCGCTATAATGAGCGAAGCTCTGCTACACCCTCCTTGCGGCATATACAAATGGATAAGGTAAATGCTCTCTCCTTTTTTAATATTTATTTGCTTTCTATATTTGGTTATCTTTGCTATATGAATTAATGATTTTTTTCCAGCAACGTCGGAGGGATAGAATTATTACTTCCCACCCTGATAGGGATCTCAGTGCTGACCGCCCTGAACTGGATGACGACAAATCAATGATGAAAATACAAAAAGAGATACAAAAAGAGCAGAGAAAACGCATGGAAAAGGACAATGGGGATCAGAGAATACATGATCATGATGATCCTAAGCATGAAAACAATAGGGATTTTAACTCGCATCGTTTTGCTGACAAAAAGAGATATGGAAGGAAAGTTGAAGGATTTGCTTCTTGTGATGAGAGGGATACTTTTAAAAGTGAGTCTCTCAACCTTTGAAGACTTTTATTTCTTCATAATGTACAAAGTATCACCTTTGCTTTACTTTTTCAAATCTCAACATAACATAATTATACAGTGGACTTTATTGTGTATAGGGTGACAATTTTGCTGTCCTTTTGCAATCTACTGCTGATAAAGTAGCCTTGTATAATGAGATCCGGGTTAATACACATAGTCTATTCCTTCATGTATCAACCTTTTAAGATTTCAGTTTTTTCTATTCCAATGTCAGGCATGTGCAACCGAGGTTTTGTATTCTGCGAGAAAGTGAAGGAGAGACTATGCAGCTCAGACGACTACCAGGCATTCTTAAAGTGCCTTAATATTTATAGCAATGGAATAATCAAAAGAAATGATTTGCAAAACTTGGTATGTTTTAGACCATTTATAGTGTTATCTTTGATTTTTGGAATCATTCAATGCTTTTTTTGGTATGTTTCCTAGGTGACTGATTTACTTGGCAAGTACCCGGATCTTATGAATGAGTTCAATAAGTTCTTGGAGCGTTGTGAGAATACAGGTAACGACTTAAGTATCATTTGAAGTTGTTTTATTTTGATTGTTTAATTTTATGTCTGTTTTTTCCCCTAATTTAAATGTCTTCCACAGATGGGCTCCTTGCCGGTGTTATTAGTAGAAGTAAGGCTCCCTTTCTTTGTCATTTCTTATGCATTTTTTTATTGTCATCGGATGTTTTCTCATTTACCAATATCCATATATGTAATAGTTCAGTCTTAAATGATGCAAATTATTTTTTATCTTTAAATTGAAATGACGGTTTACTTCTTGGATTGCAGAATCACTTACTCTTGACGGACATACGTCCAGGCCATTGGAGGAAAAAGATAGAGAGCCAAAACGAGAAATTGAAGGAGCTAAGGAAAAGGAGAGATATAAGGAGTATATGGGAAAATCAATACAGGAGCTTGACCTTTCTAACTGCCAAAATTGTACTCCAAGCTATCGGCTTCTTCCAGATGATGTATAAACTTCTAAAAGTGATTTATGTATTTTTTTTTTGCATGCAAAATTTTCCATTTTGATTATAACAGTCTTTGGTATTCGTCTCACAGTACCCAATACCTGTAGCGAGTCAGAGATCCGAGCTTGGCGCTAGTGTGCTGAATGATTATTGGGTATCTGTCACTTCAGGAAGTGAGGATTATTCTTTTAAGCACATGCGCCGAAATCAGTATGAAGAGAGCTTGTTCAGATGTGAGGATGATAGGTAAAATTCCCGGGTATTCCTTAATTTATCTCAGTACTACACATGCAATCATCCTAGTGATTCCCATAATATTTTTATATGCGAAGATGAGAATGAGTTTTCAGAAGAAAAATTGACATGCATTGGTTATTTATTCTGTTAATGCAAGCCATTTGGAATTTTAGGGTTATTCTACCCTGTCCTATTGGTTTATGAGAAACTTAGTCCTACAATAAAAGTTAGCAGTTTAGTCATCGTACTTTCAATTTTGAAGCAAATGGGTAAATTATAAATAATGGTAAGGTTGAATTTTAAAAAATGTTGACATCTCGTATTTTAGGAAAAGGTGAGCAATTTAGTCATTTTCATGTTTTAAAAATTCTGAATTTTGTTTTTCCTTTTTTACGTTACTTTAAAATGCAACGTGTCAGCCTTTTATAACGTTTTAAATTTACTTCCATTTAAAGTTTTACCTAGTTGCCGAAAAATTTAATGTCCAAGGGCTAAATTACTCATTTTATAGCAGAGGGGTTAACTTGTTCTTTAGCGGTGAGTACAGGGATACCCCGTGTAATTTAACAAAATTCTAGATGTTCTCTCCTTTGAAGACATGACAGAGTTCTTGTTTAATGGTCATAGGTTTGAACTGGATATGTTGTTAGAAGCTGTGAGCTCAACGGCCAAGCGTGTCGAGGACTTGCTGAACAGCATTAATGAAAATAAAATCAATATGAATTGCCCATTTCGTGTAGAAGAACACTTTACTGGTACGTATTTATCACTAGATTCTCAAATTATGTTTCTATATGAACATTTTTGGTCTTAACTTTTTGCGTCCTCTACACCACTTACTGCAGTTCTGAATTTGAGGTGCACCGAGCGTCTATATGGTGACCATGGTCTTGATGTAATGGAAACATTACGTAAAAATCCTGCAATTGCATTACCCGTAATTTTAACTCGACTGAAGCAGAAGCAAGAAGAGTGGACAAAGTGCCGTTCAGACTTCAACAAAGTTTGGGCTGAAATTTATTCGAAAAACCATTACAAATCACTTGATCATCGCAGCTTCTATTTCAAGCAGCAGGATTCAAAGAACTTGAGTGCAAAATGTAAGTGGAGTCAGATTGAAAGATTGATGGATGATTCTTAACATGTTCTAATAAGTCCAATTCATTGGCCGGCCGGGTTTGGACCAGGTCTTGATGCTTATTAAGAAACTATGTATGCCCAGGTCCGGCCCACCCCAAATATAGATATCAAGCATATTCATATTTGAGCCAGGCCAGGCTGTATACAGGTTTGAGTTTCTCTGCCTGATGGCCGCCTGTATAGACAATGGGCTTTTTTGGACCAAATCCATTTTCAAACCTACTACTATTTTTTTTATTCCCTCCCATATACCAGACCTGGCCCTTGAACATGTCTAGTTCTAATATATGGTGAAGTTAACTGTCAATTATATTTCTATTTCTTTATTTAGTGTGATTTATCTTTCATTTCTTATTGCAGCTTTACTGGCTGAAATCAAGGAGTTGAAAGAGAAGAACCAGAAAGAAGACGATGTTCTTATGGCTAGCGTTGCTGGTCACCGACAACCCCTTGCTTCACACCTTGAATACGAATATTTGAATGTCGACATTCATGAGGACTTATATAAGCTTATTGAATATTCATGTGAAGAGATGTGTTCAACGAAAGAACAGTTAAATCGAGTTATGAGGCTCTGGACCACTTTACTAGAGCCCATGTTTGGTGTTCCTCCTAGACTTAATGGCAGAGAGGGTACTGATGGTGCCGGTAAAGCACAGAATCCTGCTGTAAACTGCACTGCTTTGAATGTAGCTGAAAGTGATGGAAGTCCTGGAGCTGATGCTACTGTAAATTCTGGCCAGCTAAAGGCTGCCAGTGATGGAGACAAGAACAGTTCATCTGAACTAACTAATTCTTGCAGGAATGATTTGACAAATGGGGAAACTTTAACCAGAGAACGCGACTCAAGAGATGATTCAAGGCTAGAGAAAGAGACCAAATTTACAGCTGATAAAAAGCCTGGAATCCACATGCATGCAAATGGAATGGAAACAGTAAATAATCACAGCAGAAACAATGTTGAAGGGGCATCAGGTTTGTGTTTCGATGAAGTTTCATGACAATCATTCGTGTTGTTTGTTGTTCATTGATCTTGTTTTTCCTATTACTTTTCTTCTTGTCATTCCTTTTGGGATTGTGTTGCTATAATGAGATAAGTTGACTTTCAAGGGAAAGGCATAGCTGCATCTAGACCTAGTAGCAGAGTTGCTGGTGAGGCTCATGAATCCGAAGCTAATGCTGATCTTGTACATTCTTCGGAGGTATGGTTTTCTTCATATTGATTACTATATTCTACTTGGCATCACTGAAGCTGATATTACTATATGGTTTAGTTAAATATAATATTACCATCTTTGCTTAAGTTGCTCCGACTCTTCACTTTGCTTGAAGTATGTGTCTGTCACCTGTGTTCGATTCATGTTCGGACATGGATGTGGGGTATGACCTTCCAAGGATCCCATCAAATACATGTAAATAGTTGGAAAAGAAGGAACATTTCCATTTGGAAACACTCACATCCAATGCTTACACCTAAGCAGTGCTGTGCAAAACTTTGTTAAATCGGAGTTGATCATACAATTTGGTTAATTCCACTCAGCTCAGTTCGGTGTTGGTTTAAGTGTATTAATTTGGTTGGTTGTCGGTTTATGTGTAATTGATAATTGAACCGACCAAACCAACCAACTTAATATGAATATATTGCATTTATATATTTTTAAAATATATTTATATTATTCTTTTTGATATATGAAAATATCTTGTAATAATAAAATTTATTCTATTTCTCCAATGATAGTTTTATAGATTTAAATAAATATGAATTAGAACAACGATAGATTGCCTCATTTATTTTCAGTTAATTTGATTAATCGACCAAACCAACTGAAGTTTGGATATTTCTTTTCTTTTTTCTCCTTAGGTTAGCTTGGTTTTTTCTTTAGTTTTCAGTCATAACAAACATATGCAAAATTTCTTGGTAATTCAGGGTGTTGGTGTAACAAAACATGCTTTATTAGTAAATGGAATGCCTACAGATGGCTCTAATGCCAGTAGATGTCACGAAGAATCCGCTGGTTTCTCCAGAGTTGAAAAAGAAGATGGTGAATTATCACCTAACGGTGAATTCGAGGAGGATAATTTTGTTGCTTACGGTGATACCTGTCCAAAGGTTGTGTATAAGGCGAAGCGTGGTGTTGAAAGCAGACAGCACCAGTCTGGAAATGGGAAAGACTTGCATTCCGTGGATGCTGATGGAGAAAATGATGCGGATGCTGATGATGAGGATAGTGAAAATGCCTCGGAGGCTGGTGACAATGCATCAGGCAGTGAGTCCGCTGGCGATGAATGCTTCCGTGAAGAGAATGAAGAGGAGGAAGAGGTCGAACATGATGAAGTTGATGGTAAGGCTGAGAGTGAAGGTGAAGCCGAGGGGACGGCTGATACACATGTGGGAGGAGATGGCACGTCCTTGTCATTTTCGGAACATTTCCTCTTTACAGTGAAGCCTCTTTCAAAGCACGTACGAGCAGTTCTACCCGAAGATGATAGTAATAATTCTTGGGTTTTTTATGCAAATGACGATTTCTATGTCCTTTTCAGACTTCATCAAGTACGTAAGGTTTCAGAAGCTTTTTAGTTATTTCTTCAATTTTCATGCTACCTTCCAATATGTATTCTCTGATCTTGGTCTTCATTTAGATCCTATATGAAAGAATACTGTCAGCAAAAACAAATACAGCGGCTGCTGAAATAAGGTGCAAACATCCAAAAGATGCTATTTCTTTGGATTTATATGCCAGGTTGATTCATATATCAATTTAATTGCTGAATTTGAAGGGTCTAATGCCTTCTAATTCGGAAAATTTCATCTCTGCTACACAGTTTTATGGGTGCACTTTACAATCTGCTCGATGGATCAACTGATAATTCAAAGTTTGAGGATGAATGCCGAGCTATAATAGGAAACCAGTCATATGTGTTGTTCACATTGGACAAGTTGATATTTAAATTGGTTAAGCAGGTTAGCTTCTTCAATGATCTTCCTTTATTTCATCCTTGTTTTTGTTCCACTGTTTTGAAATTTAGTTTTCATTACAGCTTCAAGCTGTTGCAGCGGATGGGATGGATAATAAGCTTCTTCAATTGTTTGACTATGAAAAGTCCCGAAAACACTGGAAAGCAATGGATTCAGTGTATTATGAGAATGCACGCGTCCTTCTTCATGAGGAGAATATTTATCGATTGAAATATGTGAGTTTTACATGTCCCTGTATTTCGCTATTTTTTCCTCAGAATAAGATATGAACTGATTAGGAACATGAATGCCCTAGGTATGTTAACACAAAGTTCTTTTTACTTTGGTTCCATATTTTTGCAGTCATCTCCGCCATCTCGTTTATCTATTCAGTTGATGGACAATGTCATTGAAAAGCCCGAAGCATTTTCTGTTTCCATGGAACCTAATTTTTCGGCTGTTTTGCACGACGACTTTCTGTCTGTCTATCCCGGCAAAAAGGAGCCACATGGCATTATACTAAAGAGGTAATAATAGATAACGTTAGTATTAAACCGTTGTAGTTTTGCAATTAATGTTTATCTGGTGTTAAAAATACAATGTAGCATTTTGATGCCAGCATCTGATATGTTGTTCTGTAGACAATTGTAGCAAAGAGAAGAGTTGCAGTATGTTAAATAGCTAGTGCTCAGTGTTAGTGTTGGATACGAGTATTTTTCCGACATTAGTATGTTGAATTCACACCCCCCCAAAGCTTTCCTTGCAATCAGAGGATCCTTAAGAGGATCATATCCCCATATCGTTTTCTGGTTTTGGGTGCTTAAAGAAAAAAATGAAGCGTCAGGGCAATTTATGGTACTCAAACTTGGATGTAAGTGTCGGGTATATTAGTCTTCCCATGTAATAGAGGGATCTACTTAGAAGATCATACCCCCATATCCTTGTTTAGATATAGGTGTTGGACACAAGAACTTGAAGAAAAATGAAGTTTCTTTATTGATATTTGCAGAAACAAAAAGTATGCAAATTTAGATGAATTTGCTGCTACTTGCTTGGCCATGGAAGGTGTTGAACTGTTTAATGGTTTAGAGAACAAGATAGCCTGCAACTCATACAAGGTATTGTGCTTTTTAGTAATATCGAGTTTAACCTTTTTATCTTTAGTTCTTTCATCTGACTACGGAACTGCACCCCACATAACGATCCGTGAAATTCGTTGGCAGATTTCATATGTGTTGGACACCGAAGATTTCTTCTATCGTAGAAGAACTTCATCACGACACCGATCTTCATGCAATAATCAGGCTAGAATACAACGGTTCCATAGATTTTTATCTTCTTCGAAATAACTGTGCGTTCTTTCTTAGACCGGCTCGAAAGGTGAGTACAACATCACGAACTTTATATTGTCACGACCCTTTGAATTTGCAAAGATGGCTCAGCCTTCATCACGAATTTTCTTGCAGGAACCATCGGTGCGACCAGACTCTCGTAAAGGTTTTGAAACAGAGACATGTCTTGTGTACGTTAATAATGGAATGCTGGGATGGAAGAAAAGAGGAAATGTAAGCATATTTGTAGGATGACATGAGCAGGGATCTGACCAGTTATCCTGTGAATAGGATTGCAATTTGCATGGCGAACTGTAAAAATAACAGGAAAAGAAAGGATACTTATTAAACATGTTTCTTTTGGTCCTACAGTTTTTCCAGTTTCAACAATGAAGCTCCCTATCTAATCAACACTTGCAGAGAAATGTTGAAATCCATTAGCTTCTTTATAATTCAATTCAACCTTTTGCAGTTATTTATGAAGATCTGTATTTTTTGAATCATTTGAATCTCACACTAAAAAGTTCAATTTCATAAATTATCAGAATAATACCATGTTAGTCTGAATTAAAAAATTATTTATCGATTTTTGAATTCATAAAATATTTATATCATGTTAAACATTTGAATTTGTGGAAGTTTAATGCTTCTTTTTGTAAGATTAAGGTTTAAATATATTTAGATGTAAATATATTCTCTATTTCATATTTTCTTTACTTGGGTTTAATATACAAATCCATAATCTTTATTAATTATTTTGAAGATCATATTTGAATCTATATTTTGTATTCATAAAAGTAATAAAATTAAAATAATAAATAGTTGGAAATATATTTATATTTTCTATAAATGTATAATAAATATTATTAAATATTCAAATCTCGTTATTCTTAACTATAAAATGATCAAATTTAATTGGGTAAACAACATGATTGATCACATTCGTTTAAGTTTTGTATATTGTCCCTTACTGAATTCAAAAGTACATAACATTTGGTTATTTTCTTTTTTATTTAATTAAGACGTGATTATTGAAGATTAATTGTTGTTAAACTTTTAAATGATTACTGGCTTGACATAATAATATGTAAAATTATAAATTAAAAAAATGATCACTAATATTTGAGTAAGTTTTCGTTTTTCTCACTTAAATTTCAAAAATAAAAAATTGATCGACACTAAGTTACAATATATACTTGAGAATGATCCGAACCGATATAGAGCCCCATTAGCACAAAAGGAAGCAGTCGAAGCATTGCCAACAGTTGATGACTAGTTCTAAGGATTGAAACACTTCAGAACCTCCAGCACTTATACAAGATAACTGACTAAACAAAATCCTAGATAACACCTTAAACCGATTCGACACACAATCGACCTATTAGAATGTCACACGGGACCACCAAAGTGACTAACAAATTTTTTTTCTTTTAATTACTCACTTTTAAACAATGATTTGAAAAGCATTGATATCAAATAATTCAACCATTATATGTATAAACAATAAACTTTAAATCGGGGAACTCCCAAAATACAAGTATATCAAAATATACAACCCAACTTTTCAAAATAAAGTTACGACTTGAAATATACAAGGATCTACAAATAAAACATGCCCTCTAAAGGATAACTCGAGACGTACTCTGCTCTGCACTTGGTATGGATACAATTACTCAAAAGGCTCCTCAAAGCTCCTCTTAAGTACCTGCGCACGAAACAAATTTTGAACGCTGAGCTCATTAGCCCAGTGCCACACTAACAACTAAACCATACTAATAGTGTTCATTAAATGTTCAAGCTATCAAGTATAATGAAATAGTGAGTATACTCGTATACTTCACTGTCTACTCGATGGAAAACATTATGGTGCGGCTGAGAGTTCTTCATCTCAGAGCTCAAGCACCACTTTAGTCTTTCGAAGATGAGACTCGAAATCTTTACATTAGACACAACACCATCTACTAAGCCACCCCTCGCGAGTGTCGGTCCTCGGCCCTAGTTAGTCAGTTTAAAGTGCCTCGCACACTACCTAAGGATATTCGGACAATGCTATACTTCAACATCGATATATTTACTAAAGAAACTAGGGTGTCCTGCTTGTTTTTAAATTATCAATCAATGCTAGTTTTATGTCTCCTAAATTGATCTCGTTACTAAATGTATTTGATTATTATGGTTCTCACTTGTAGTCTTATTTGAGATGAATTATAGAATTCTTGGGAAACCTCATTATATATAAAAATCTCTTAAAATTAATGCCTCAACATTGCACTTTGGTACCGATACTAAGCCTCCCGATATTGGTACTGGCCCTTGAGTATCGATACTCCACCTAGGGTATCGATACTCCACAACATATTTAATTAAGAAAAATAAGGGGTATTATCGATATTCAACCCTCAGTATCGATACTCCTTAGAGTATCGATACCGAAATTGGACACTAGAAAATTGGTCTCGATACCAAGCCCTTGGGTCTCGAACCAAGACCCTAGTATCAATACTCTTTTAAGGAGTATTGATACCTACCTCATAAAACCCTTTGATTTTATACCTCTCATAGTAATAATACTGGTATTGTTCCTCTAGTACCAATACTCATTCTAAAAAATTCCTTATTTTGGCACAAATTTAACATTCAAACTCACCCAATATATTATCTTGAGGTTCTCAATTATTATTTAATTCATATATGAATATAAGGAGTCATAAATAATGCTATGAAACATGCTATAACACTAAAATATAGCATTTACCATGCAAATACTCAATATGCTTCAACCTCAACTCTTAAGCTAGAATGCATTTATAGTGACCCACTAATGGTATGAAGAAGTTTTGAATGTGTCATCTTGCTTCCTTTGTTGCTAAAATACCTCCCAAATCAACCAAGGTTCACTTTTTCTTTCCCCTAGATTTGGAGTTCTCTGTCACCACTTTCACTAAACAAGATAAGAAATGAATTACCAACTAAGCTACGTCTTAGACTTAAAATAAAACACTCTTTATAACTCGAATCAACAAAAAATAGCTAGAATCACTTGACTCTCTTAAACCTCCTTATAACCCAATTTTTTATTTATATGGCCAAAACTTGAGATTAGGAGCTTAAATTAAAGCTTGAATGGTAAGAATAAATATTCTTACCTTGGTTTAACCAAACTAAACTTGAATTTCCTAAAGGTTTCACCTTTGTACAAATCTTAAAGATGAAGAAGAATAGAGAAAAGAGAAAAGAAGAAGAAAATGAAGATATTTGGTGGGTTTGGTACACGTGATAATTATCTTAAAATAGAGGGTTTTTATCTTTTAATTTGAGAAATAGGTTAATTACACTTTTGGTCATCTTCTTTTTATCTCTAATAAAAACCACCCTAATCTTCCATCACTTGGGCCCAACTTAAGCCCAATTCTAATTTAACTAGGCCTAAACAATTCTAACAAGTCTTTTGAGCTCAATTTATAGGTCTCAGGTCAACCCGAACTAGTAAACTGGGATCTGAGGCATTACAACTCTCCCATCCTAAAAAGAAATTTTGTTCTCGAAATTTACTTGGATAGAAAAGATGTGGATATTGAAGCTGCATATCATCTTCTATTTCCTACGTTGCCTCTTCGACTCCATGGTTCTTCCACATAACCTTCACCAAGGGAGTCCTTTTGTTTCTTAACCCTTTCATGCCTCTGCCAAAAATTCTTATCGAATATTTCTCATAAGACATGTCGGGGTTCAACTCAACTTGCTCAAGGGATATGTCGTGAGAAGATTTGGAATGGTACCTCCTAAGCATAAACACGTAGAACACAATATGGATATGCTCAAACTCTAAGGGTAAAGCTAGACGGTATGCTACGAGTCCAATACTCTCAAGCACCTCATGCATACTTATAAAACGCAGGGCCAACTTTTTTTATGTCCAAAACGAAGTGCTTTTTTCCATGGGGACACCTTGTCGCCCAGGGCAAACTTGATGTCTTTACGTTTTAAGTTCGCATATGATCTCTTCATATCCGATGCTTCTTTCAGCTGACTCTGAATCAATTTAACCTTTTCCTTAGTTTCTCTGATCAAATCCGATCCCACTAACTTTCTCTCACTGAGCTCGGTCCAACAAAGAGGATTCATACACTTGCACCCATACAACACCTCATATAGAGCCATCTGGATGCTAGACTGGTAACTTTTATTATACGCGAACTCTACTAGCGGTAGGTGGTCCTCCCAACCACCCTCGAGATCCATAACAACGCACCTAAGCATATCCTCAAGAATCTGAATAACATGTTTGGACTGACCGTCTGTCTGAGGATGAAAGGCGATGCTAATATGGAGTTTGGTACCTATGGACTCATAAAGGGCTTTTCAAAATCGGGAGGTGAACCTAGGGTTTCTGTCTGAAATGATTGAAATTGGGACTCAATGCAACCTTACTATTTTGCGGATGTAGAGCTGTGCTAACCTCTCTAAGGTGAAATCCATCATAACAGGTAAACCGATCAACTATCAACTATCACCCAAATTACATCATGCTTTAACCTCATCATCAGTAAACCGGTCACAAAATCTATAGTTACTCTATCCCACTTCCACTATGGATTCTAAATTGGCTAGAGTAATCCTGATGGAACCTGATGTTCCTCCTTGACTTGTTGGCACACCAAACACTTTGCAACAAATTCAGACATTTCTCTCTTCATGCATGACTACCAATATGGTGGTCGGAGCTCTTGGTACATCTTGTTGCTACTCAGATGGACTGATAGGGGACTACAATGAGCCTCATGAAGGATTTTACTATACAATTGCTCGACTGTTGGCACACACAATCGTCCTCTAAAGAAAAGTACATTACCCTTACGCAACTCAAAACCTAGGGCCTTACCACTGTGGACGTGTTTTATGTGAGCCCTTAGACAACTATATGAACTCTGGAAACCTCACTCACTAACTCAGGCTCTACTCAAAGTTTACCCAATAATCCCTCATTGCTAGGTAGACTCAAACATGCTAACATCGCTCTCAACTCTAACATTGGCTTCCTACTTAGCGCATCAGCAACCACGTTGACCTTTCCTAGGTGGTAGTTGATCACACAATCATAGTCCTTTAACAACTCAACACATCTATGTTGTCTCAGGTTCAACTCTTTTTGCGTAAGCAAATACTTTAGAATATTATGGTCAGTGAAGATGTGGCACTTCTCACCATACAGGTAGTGCCTCCAAATCTTGAGAGCGAAAACTATGGCTGAAAGCTCTAAATCGTGGGTAGGGTAATTCTATTCGTGAGGCTTAAGCTGAAGTGGTGCATGGGCTATCACCTTTATTTCTTGCATCAAAACACATCTCATGTCGTTTAGCAAAACAT